GCTTAGAGAGGGCTGTAAAAGCACTGTGAAGCGGCATATAAGTCTTAAGTGCTATTTGCTATTATGAATTTGGAAGCCTCTTCCTCCTTGTCTTTCAGCACATCTGCGTGATCAGCGAGACCGGGAAAGAGAAATACAAGGCGTGACCTCGGCTGGTTTCACCCAACAGCAGCGAGACCGTGAAGCTGACCTCCAGCCCCTCCCTGCCTTTCGGTCCAAACACCAGCTTTGGATTGTGGAGTGATTCCCACTCTTTCTCTTTCTCTTTCTCTCTCCCCCCATCCCTCGTCATAATTGCTTGCTATAACTTATTACATATACAGCATGGGAAACTCATCTTGTTCATTTGCATTTGGGAAGTCAAAAGGAAGTTTCCGCTTCCCCCTTTTTTTAAATTTGCACTATGCATCTCCTCCTCCTCCTCCTCCTCGCCCCTCCCTTCAGAAAAACAAATCCCCCCCCCACTCTTTCTCTCCCACCCGCTCGCCCCTTTTAAAAAAAAACCTCATTGGTTCATGAAATAGTTATAAGTACTGTAAATGTATAAGGCATTTTAAGATGGGAAATCTATATTAGTAATATTTTTTAAAAAAACAAGTAATTTAAGTTTTATATTGTAATGAAATGTAATTGAGATTTTTGGGGAAAGGGGGAGTGGGGAGTGATAACCGGGTCGCTGCTCCGGGGGGGGTGGGTGGAGGGAAAGAGGCACACGGAGCACCTTTGGATAGTTTTGGAAAGGAGCATTGATGCTCTTCTGCTCCGCTGCTAGTTGCTCTAGTTGCCCCTTGCAGAGTTAAAAGAAAATAAGTCTATTTGGGTCTGTGGGGGGGGGGTGTGTGTGAAATGCGACGACGTCAACAAAAGTTCAGGATTTGAGGGCACCGTTGACCGCTGGCATCCTTTGGCGAAAGGCCGATCAAAGGAAAAGCTGCTTCCACCCAGCCGGCAACGCACAAGTTCCCCGCACAAGCTTGTGTCATTCTCCCTCCATCCTCTTTGAGTTGTGTTGCCTTTCGCATCCCACCCCCATCGTCTTTGTATTGCGTGTCAGTGGGGGGAAAACAAAACAAAACATGATTGTAACGCTGACCCCTCTGAGGTGCACAAAGTGGATGTACTTTAAAAAATAAAAGCTGTTTCTTCAAAAAGGCTTCCCTGGGCAGTTCTGAGCCGGCTCCGCCGTATATTTAAAGCAATCCCTCTTTATTTTATTTTATTTATTTATTTAGGCCTCAGTTTCCCCATCCTCATCCAAGGGCAATGATTTCAGGGAAGAATCCGGGCCTGTTTGGGCATTCATGCAATGATAGGCGCTGTTGGGGAAACGCTCTTGGCTTCTGGCAAAGTCGAAGGGGGCAATTCCTCTATACCAGGGGTGCCAAGCTCAATTTCATGGAGCTTCATGTTTGATCATGGGTGCCTGTGGTGGCCTGCTAGCGAAAACGGAGCTCGGGAGGGCTGTGCGTGGTCCTCGCTGGCAGAGGCACAGTGGGATGGCCCTCCATTTTTTTTTGAAGGTCGGCCCACGGGCCAAACCTAAGGACTCACGCGGGCTGGATCCGGCCCAAGGGCCTGAGTTTTAACACCCCTGCTGTAGAAACCCACCTTTCAGACCGAGGAGCTCTCGTGTTCCTTCATAGTTGTTAGTCCCTAAGTTGTGTCTCGCCCTTCACAACCCCATAGACCGCAGCCTGCCAAAAAAAGGACCCTCCTCCAATATCCCAGAGTTTGTATTGTATATTCAATTGTATTGTATTTTATTATTTGTATGCCGCCCTTCTCCGGGAGGACTCAGGGCAGCAAACAATTCAAGGGGGAAAAGGGGAACATAGAACAGAATACAAGTAATTAAAATAGGCAAGAATCACGCAAGCACACAAGTCGAGAGGGGAGGGGAACTCATCAACCCCAGGCCTGCCGGCAAAGCCAGGTTTTGA